GCAACCGGTTGTTCAGTTGTTCCACCATTTGGTCTATTTGCATATTAGGGTTTTATATATAGATATTTACTGCCTTTGAGACAAGTATGGGGAAAGTATAATTTAGAAAGAACGCCTCAGAGAAAGATGCATTTCTGAGTAACGTCCAGGAAGACAGGTCCCCACAGCCGGTTTGGCTCTTCTTGAGGGATGTGACTGGGACCTCCGGGCTCAGGGTGGTTCCGTCAGAGCAGGGACCCCGCTGAGTGTAGGAGCCCAACCTCAGTCCTTGCAGGTGCCCACCTCCCATCTGCAAGCTGGCTAGATACCGACCGTGGCATCGTGGATATCCAAAATGAGGCTTGATTCATGTCTCAGATCTCAAACTCATGAACAAAACAAAAAAAAACAATTGCGACAGAATATACGCAAGGGGTGTTATAAGTGATATATTACGTGTTCCTTTCCTGCTGCTCCACTTTCAAGTTGACTGAAATCCAAAAATGTCATTGCACAAAATTGATATTTCACTAAAAGAAGTTGAGTAGAACATTGAGCGAGGCACGGTGCTGTCTGCCAAATCGTCTCCCATCCTGAAGTACCTTCTGGTTTCTTCTCCCTCGTGTGTTCTGACCTCTCTAGGACAGCTAGCCGTTTATCTTTTCCTTTTTTCTTTTTAAGCTGAAGGTTAATGCATTACTATCTTTATCTAACTCCAGCACTTTCCAGAAGCCTCTGTTTTTAAGCTGAAATACACATTGTCTCAGGCCATATTTTATTTTCCAATAAAGACTAGAGTTTGTTCCATTTGGTTCCCTGCTTTTTAACATTTTAGGTTTTACACCTGCACTCCAAAAATGAAGATTTCCAAAGACTGACATTTTTATGGCATCGACCTATTTACTGATTTCACATATTACCAAGTTGGCGTCCTCCCCCAGTTCTGAATTCAGCATCCCACTGCTGTCCTTGTTAGCAGCCTGGTGGCCTAAGCCTGGATTTGTGGGCGCCTGCTGTGGTGAACAGTTTGAGCACTAACAGCAGAGAGAGAGGATCACCAGAGGGACAGACGTGGCCTGTGCTATTCGGATCCCCAACAGCTCCCGAGTATGAAAATAGCTGGTGAGCGTGAGTGAGGAGGCTCTGGGGGTGGCAGGAGGGGTGGGGGCTGCCGTCATGGAGGGATTGAGCACGGAGGGTGTGGCGGTGCTGCATCCGGTGCCCCAGATGCTGCTGCTGCTGCTTGTAGGAGTGCAGGCAGCCAGCCCCACGGGGCCAGGAAGGAGGCTCCATGTGAAAGACAAGGGCTGGACCTGGTGCTGAGTTCAGACGGTATGTGAGTGCCTTCAGTTCGGCCCGCACTCATGAATGCGCACCTCATTCCAGGGAACACCCTGAACAGATAGAATCTGGGCCTTCAAGGATGAGGAAGGACATGCTAAATCATGCATTCAGCCATTCATTTAACACACATTTATTGCACAACTTCTACATGGCAATCACTGCCCAAACTGAGAGCATACACCAGGCCTCTGAGCATTAGTGAAAGAGTGTCTGTGAATATTAAAGCATAAATGCCTGGGAGAATGTTTGGAAAAATACAGACATGCTAACCGTGGTGCATGGTGGGATTGTGGGGGACTCATTTTCTTCCTTTAGCTCATCTGTCTTTTCTGACTTTCTCAGTGCTCATGTAGCATTTTCTGTAAGTAAATGATTGAAGAAAAAATATTTTGAGAAATAGCTCCTCGGTCTCTCCTCGCAAAATACAACAAGATGAACATTATGCCAGTGATGGTGTTTAGCACTTTATTCCTGAGAATGATCTCCCATTCAGACAGACTGCCTACTTTGTGGATGCTCTAGGGAAAGAAAGGAGAAAGCTAGAGAGCTTAAAATAGCTGTTAAATCAAAAATTGAAACTTTTTGTTGTTTTAGGGGATTATTGCTCTTCCACACATGAATAAACATTACCGAAACTGATTCTCCACTCTCAGATTGCACACTAATCACAAGTGGCTTTGTGGGCAAGTTTTACTAAACCTTCAGGAAACAGTTAACCTTCATCTTACACAGTCTCAGAGAACAGAAAAAGAGAGCTACTTGATCCATTGTATGAGGATAGTTTACTCCAACACCAAAATCAGACAAGGACGGTACTAGGAAAAAGTTATAGACCCATCTCACATTTTGTCATATTTACAATATGCTCAATACCATATTTGCTAATAGAATCCTTCAGTATATTAAAGATATATGCATCATGACCAAGTATGGCTTATCTTTGGAAAGCAAAGATGACTTTGATCAAAGGGTCTTTTAATAATTGGTTAAATTCACTTATTAAAAGGGATAAACCATATGATCATCTCAGTAGGTACAAAGAAAGTGTTTGATAAAATTACCTTGAAACAAAGCCTTAGCAAAACAGGAACAGAAGAAAGATCCCTTAACTGGGTAAGTGATATCCATCAAAAACCCACATCAGATATCATATGGTGGAAAGATTTTAGAGATAATTCTATTAAAGTCAGGAACAAGACAGGGATGCCAAATAACATACTTACTATTCAGCATTGTACTGGAGGTTCCCACCAGTTCAATAAGGCAAGAAAAAGAAATAGGAGGTAGAAAAAACAATCATTTTGTACAGGCAATGTAGTTGTTCACATAAAAAAAATCCAAGATGTGCTACATAAAATCTATTAGAATTAATAACAGAACTCAGCAGAATCTCTCAATTGGAGATAAATATACAGGAATCAGTTGGGTTCCTATATATCCTTAATAACCATTTAGAAACTATAATAGAAAAAATTACACTTATAGTAACAACCAAAACTATATGGTACCTAGAAGTAAATCTAATGAAAGATATGCAATAGCTTTGTGGAAATAACTATAAGACATTATTGAAGGACACAGGAGATCCAACTAAATGAAGAGATACATCATGTTGGATGGGAGGCTTAATATAAAGATTCCAGTTTACCCCATATTAATACAGGGTATTCATGGCATTTGGTCAAATGATCCTAAAATTCATATGAAAAAGGCAAGAATAGTCAAGATAATTTCTAAGAAAAACAAAATGAGGAGAACTTCCCTATGGCTTATCAAGGTTTATTATGAGTATAGTAATTTTATAGCAGTGTGATATTGGTACTGAAGTAGATATTGCTCAATGGAACAAAATAAAAAACTCAGACCCATGAATTATTTAAACTTGATAAACAAAAGATGGCCTAAGACAGTGGTCGGCAAACTCATTAGTCAACAGAGCCAAATATCAACAGTACAACGATTGAAATTTCTTTTGAGAGCCAAATATTTTAAACTTAAACTATATAGGTAGGTACATTGTTATTAACTTAATTAGGGTACTCCTAAGGCTTAGGAAGAGTCACACTCAAGGGGCCAAAGAGCCGCATGTGGCTCACGAGCCGCAGTTTGCCGACCATGGGCCTAAGAGATCAGCAGCAGAAGGATGAACTATTCAATAAATTGAGTAAATTGTGAGAAGAAAAAGGTACCTCATACAATATGCACAAGTAAATTCCAGGTGGATTAAAGACCTAAATGTGAAAAGCAAAACCTTAAGATTTGGGGGAAATATGTTAAGACTCACTTATCACCTAATGGCAGGAATGGATTTTTTAAAACACAATGCAGCCCTAGCTGGTTTGGCTCAGTGGATAAAGTGTCGGCCTGCGGACTGAAGGGTCCTGGGTTCGATTCCGGTCAAGGGCACATGCCCGGTTGTAGGCTCAATCCCCAGTAGAGGGCATGCAGGAGGCAGCCAATCAATGATTCTCTCTCATCATTGATGTTTCCATCTCTCTCTCTCCCTCTCCCTTCCTCTCTGAAATCAATCCTATATAATAAAAACCTAATATGCAAATCGACCAAAGGGGCAGAACAAACCGGTGGAATGACCGGTCACTATGACACACTGACCACCAGGGGGCAGATGCTCAACGCAGGCGCTGACCCCAGCCTGCAGGCCCCAGGCCAGCCAAGGCAGGTGCCAGTGCCGCCCTCCCCCCCCCCGCCCCATCACCCTGCTGGTCACCCCACAGAGGGAGGCAACCAGCACTGGCGGCAGGGGGCAAGCCAGCAGGTGAGTGGTGCCAGGCCGGCCAAGGTGGGTGCCAGCAGGGCGCCCCTGATTGCCCTGCTGGTCACCCCACAGATTGGCCCTGATCGCCAGCCAGGCCTAGGGATCCTACCCTTGCATGAATTTCGTGCACTGGGCCTCTAGTAAAAATATTTTTTTAAAAAAAACAATGCAAAATTATCACTAACTATAAAGGAAAATACTGATAAATGTGACTATGTTAAAAATTTTAATTTCTGTAATTTAAAAGATAATTCTATAGCCTGAGAGGCAATAGTGTGATCAGCAGAGGATTAGCATCCATAAGGTATTAAAAGCTCTGACAAATTAGCCAGGAAAAGACATACAATCAAGTTGGGAGGAAATAAAAATGAGTAAATTATATGAATGAGCAACTCACAGATAAAAGACCTGAATGTTCATACACAGAAAATATATTGAATCTTACCAGGAATCAAAGAAGTTTATATTAAAACAAGATACCATTCTGTACTTATCAGATTGGCAAAATATTAAAAGGTGGACTATTTGAAGTGTTGATGAGGAAGTGGAACTGTGGGAAGTCATACATTGCTGCTGGGAGTGAAAATTAGTGCAATCTCGCTGGAAAGCAATTGGCAACCTCTCTGGTACAGGACCTGGCAGTTGCATTCTAGGTACACTGTTGTGTGTGCGCACAAAGAGACACGTCTGTGGGCCTTTTTCTTGCAGAAAGTGGAAGGAGTTTAAATGTCCATCAACAGGAAACATGGTTATATAGCATGTTCATATAAACAACTAAATGACTAAATTAGATAAATCTAGAAAGCATGATGTTGAATGAAGAGTTGCAAAAGATTCTGTAGTATGACACCTTATCCAAAATTTAAGAACACTGAGCAATATAATGTGGATGATGCATACTCATGGGCAAAAGTATAAAAACATAGATGAGACAAAGACATATCAACCTCTGAAATTCAATTCAACCTGGGGAGATAGAAGGGAAAGAGAGGCAGTTGAAAACAAAGAGGGCTTTGCCTCACTCTGTCTCTGAGGACAAAATGTTAAGATTTGTTCCAACTGGGCGGTGGCCACCCAAGTAGAGTTTGTTACGTTATTTTCTGTTTTACCTATAAATTTGAAATGCATCTGAGGAAAAACACCTGCTCCATCTCCATTTTAAAGTGAACAATAATTCAAAAACCATTTAAAACGATTGATGTTTATCACCTCATGAATGGCCGTTCAGTGTGGGGGGATTAAAGCACAGGGTTCTGAGGCAGTCTGCCTGGGTCTGATCTAGCTCTGCCACTCTGAAATGGTAGCTTAAACACGCTACGTAGTCTCTCTTGGCTGTGGTTTCCTTGGATTTAAATGCTGCTGATGGTGATGCTATTTAGTGCCTACTCATAGAGCTGCTGCAAGGATATGATGAGTTACTGTTCACACATAGGTGGACTCTGTTACTGTTATGCCTGAATGTGACTTACCTCACTCTGTCTCTGAGGACAAAATGTTAAGATTTGTTCCAACTGGGTGGAGAGACACTAGTTATTTGTTAGATACAAAAAGAGTGGGGGAGGAGTGAATAAGTATTGTTTAATATATATATCCTATATAATAAAAGCCTAATATGCTAAGGGTCCGGTCGTCCATTCAACCAATCAAAGCGTAATATGCTAATGATATGCTAAGGCCGCTCAACCGCTCACTATGATGTGCACTGACCACCAGGGGGCAGTTGACTAGTCTACCAGTCGCTATGATGTGCACTGACCACCAGGGGGCAGATGCTCAGACCGGTAGGTTAGCTTGCTGTTGGGGTCCAGCCAATTGGGACTGAGTGAGATGCACCGGACATGCCCTGGAGCCCTCCCATGGTCCCTCCCCAGCTGGGCAACCTCCCATGTTCCTCCCCGGCCCTGATTGTGCATTGCTGGGGTCCCTCGGCTTGGCCCTCACCCTCTCGCAATCCGGGACCCCTCAGAGGTAAATATTGATATTGATATTGATTTTTTTTTTA